AACTTGCAGGCCGTCATAGATATGAAGCAAAGCTTTGAAGATGATAAAATTTAGTACCAGAGCAAACAATCAAGTCTCTATTTACGTCAAGGAAATGACAAGCAATTCTAGTCATACCAAGGGTGAACTTTGGCCTCTTTTTTTTTTTTTTACTTTTAAGTATGTTTTAATTGATTCTTTCCTACAAGTAATGTGTTCATACTGGAGGGCTTGTTACAGACATTGAGGAAAACCTTGAAAGATTGAAAACCTGCCTAAAGACATTGTTGAAGGGAAAAAAGGGAGATAGAGCAGTTCTCTGAGTTCATATATTTGGGAAAGAAAATAGAGTTATCTCGTGGTGGATGGTGAGCTGGTGGAAATCAGCATTTCTCTAACCACCACCAGCAAAGGAAGCATATAAAAGGGAAAAAACAACTTTCCCTCAGGTCAATAAAAATGCCCTTGTGAATTTTGAAGCAGAAATGAATGTGATTGCCTCCAGGGAGGTTTGGGGAAACACTCAGCCAGGCAGCCCTGCTTGCAGAGCAGCACAGAGGGATCTGCTGACAGATGCTCAGGGGGGGCCAGGATCTCTTCCCACTGTGTTGGGTCATTGCTCCAGTGGCAACTGTCACTCAGCACAACACCCAGACAAGTGGCTAAGCCTCAGCTTCGGTGTTTGCTTAAGAGCCAGGTTTCCTGAAAACTGACCTGTTGATGTCTGGGTGTGCTTCTGAAAGCCACCCTGGCACCCCCTGCCAGGCGTTCTGCAGCTCCTGCCAGCTCCCTCCACCACCTGCTCACCTGCCCTGAGCTGTCCTGAGGTTCAGGAAGTGGGTTCTCCTTTGTCTCTTGGCACCAACAAACATCCCCTTGGTAACAGCGGCCATAAAACTCCTCCCACGCCCTGGCTGTCCTTGTCACAGCCTGTGTTTGCACAACGCAGCCTCCTCGGCCTTGCACACGAGCAGGCCCTGACGTCTGACATCAGGTTCGAGTTGGAAACCTGCCTTTTGAACTGGAAACAGGAGAAATGTCCACTTGTGAGCTTTGGGCAATGAAAGGTCCGGACGGGTTTCTGACCCTTGTAGTTGCACGACCAATGGAGATGCAGCAGTGAAAGCCTTGCAGTTGTCCCTCCACTGCAAAACCAGGGTCGTCCATCTGACCCAAACTTCTAGGATTTACTGCTATAGTTTAACAGAGCTGCCTCCCTGCTGGGGCCCCTGGAGTCTCCAGGCTCCTGCACGGGACGGAGAAGACACTGGTGCTTGTGTCTGGTGTCTCCTCCACCCAAGGTGCCTCTGATCCACACCCCAGGATGATTTCTGCTGCCCTCCAAAGTCATCTTACCCAGACGACCTTCCTCCCTGCATAGCTGGATCTCTTCAGCAGCTCTTCCCACCAGCTCTTCCCCCAGGTGACAGTGAGGGGGCATCCAGGGAGGACTCCAGGACTCTGGCCAAGGACCTGGCTCTTTCTCACAAGCTGGTGCTCCAGCCCTGCACCCCGTGCTGCATCCTTGCAAGAGACATCCCCACAAGCACAGTGGTGGCAGGCTGCCTTCCCCAGAAGTTAAGCAGAGATAGATACAGCAATTCCTAAAATAACCTTAGAAAACAGCAAAAAAAATGTGGCAGACTTGAAGAACGGCCACATGAGGTCAGAAGGGGAGTGAGGACCTTGATTCAAGACACACAGCTGCCAAGGAGGGAGCTCATCAGTGTTCAGTGTCCTTCTGCTTCTCCTAAGTGAGATGTTTGCTGCACCCCTGGTCACATCTTACTGTCCTCAGATGTTTGGCACACCCAGTGGAAATACTGTTCAAGACCTCAGATAGCACATGCCAGTCACAAATCTTCTCTGTCGTTATGCTGGAGCTAACCCTTTCTAAAAGTATGTTTGTTCTCTAGAAAATTGGCTGTTAAGGTTTGAGAAGGGACAACACCACATTTCTGGACTGCCAGAAATATCTGCTTGGATTTTGCCAGAGGGAATGTGTCTATACTTGCCTGCATGTTTTGTACTTACATTTCCATGATGTGGGTATTTATTCCCTGGTGGCTTTGCTACCCAGAACTGGCAAAGTATGGCCTATCAAGATGCAGATTAAAAAAAATACCCCTTCACCTGAGTGCAGGTGGATGCTAGTGAGCCACAGCTGGGCATCTGAATGGTGACATCCATCAGTGATGCAGAGCCTGCAGGATCTCCCCTCTGGCTGCACACACCTTACAGGTGTTACAGAGCAGGTCCAGAACAGCTGAGGCTTCAGAGGTATTGACTTGCACTCCTGCCATGGCTGTTGCAACATGACAGCATGAGTCTGAGACACCCTGAGCCTGTTTCATAATTAACTATATGTGCCACAGCCCACAATATGTATTTATCTGTTACCTCCCATCAGGTGTTTGCTTTAAAAACATATGTATCACCCATACATGAGTCTTTTCTGGGGCTGATTGCTTGCTAACTCTGCCTACTTAAGGCAGATGCCCTTGACCAAAATTGCTCTCCCTCATCTCTGTGTTTAACTCTGTTTCTGGTTTCCCAGTGGGTGGTGGCAGGGGGGGTTTTGCAGCCAGTGTGTGGGTCTGCCCTGGTGGAGCCCTGCGGTGCTGGGCAGCAGAGGTGCCTTTGCTGATGCTGTCACGTCACCACTGGTCACTGCCTGGCTCCTCCTGAAGGCACTACTAAGGCACCTGGAAAACAAAGGGGTGATTGGTGACAGCCAACATGGCTTCACAAGGGAAAATCCTGCCTGCCTGATTTGGTGGCCTTCTACAGTGGGGTCACAGCATCAGTGGGCAAAGGAAGAGCAACCGACACCATCTCCCTGGACCTGTGCAAAGCTTTCAGCACTGTCCCTCAGGACATCCTGGTATCCAAATTGGAACAACACAGATTTGATGGATGGACCAATCATTGGGTAAGGAATGGGCTGGCTGGTCACACTCAAGGAGTATTGATCAAAAGCTCAATGTCCAAATGGAGACCTGTGACAAGTCGTGTTCTCCAAGGGTTGGTGCTCAGAGCGGTGCTGTTTAACATTTGTCGGTGACATGGACAGTGGCATCAAGGGCACCCTCAGCAGGTTTGCCAGGGACACCAAAGTGTGTGGTGAGATCAACATGCTGGAGGGAAGGGAAGGGGACCTTGACAGTCTTGAGAAGTGGCCTCTTGCAAACTGCATGAAGTTCAACAAGGCCAAGGGCAAGGTTCTGCACCTGGGTCGGGGCAATCCCAAGCATAAGTACAGGTGGGTGGAGAATGGATTGAAAACAGCCCTGAAGTGAAGGACTTGGGGGTGATGGTGGATGAGAAGCTCAACATAAGCAGGCAATGTGTGCCTGCAGCCCAGAAAGCCAAATGTGTCCTGGGCTGCATCCAAAGAAACGTGGCCAGCAGGTCAAGAGAGGTGATTCTCCCCTTCTGCTCAACTCTTGTGAGACCCCACCTGGAGTGCTGTGTCCAGCTCTGGAGCCTACAACATAAGAAGGACATGGAAATCCTGGAGCAAATCAAGAGGAGGGGCACAAAGATGATCCGAGGGCTGGAACACGGCTCCTGTGAAGATGGGCTGAGAGAGTTGGGGCTGGAGAAGGCTTTGGAGTGACCTCACAGCAGCCTTCCAGCAGCTGAAGGGGCCTTCAGGAAAGCTGGGGAGGGACTTTTTTCAAGGGCTGGTAGCAACAGGACAAAGGTAATGGTTTAAAACTTGAAAAGGAGAGATTTAGATGAGACATTAGGAGGAAATTCTTTAGGGTGGTGAGACACTGGAACAGGTTTCCCTTGGAAGCTGTGGAAGCCCCATCCCTGGAAGTGTTCAAGGCCAGGTTGGATGGGGCTTTGAGCAACCTGGTCTAGTGGGAGGTGTCCCTGCCCATGCAGGGGGGTTGGATCTAGGTGATCTTGAAAGACCCCTTCCTTTAAAGACCCTTTCCAACCCAAACTGTTCTGTGATTCTATGTTATGTTTCTATGAATAAATGTTTCTTTTCCATTTCACTACCTCGTTGAATTGATGAGCCTCATTCCTTAAGTCTGCTGGCCCTTCAGGGGATCAAAACAGCCACATTCTACTCACCTTCCCATGCAGGTTGTGGCATAAGTGTCTATCACCATTACAGCCCAAGGAGTTCTTCTACAAGATTTAACTCCCCATCTGTGATTTTATTCTGCCTTGATCATGAAATTAGGGTTTTCCAGGTGAAGAAAAGAGAGCACAAACAGATTACTGCTCTGAAAATGCATTTTTAATTACAGACACATTATCCTCAGTGTTGGGACATGCACAGTTTTGGGAATATTTTTTAGTTCAGGAACCTTACTAAGCAAAGCAGTCATTAGTTTCCAAAAGAATTATTCAAGAATTATTAAAGAATAAAATGTATTCTGTTTTAATTTTTAGTTGTGTTTTTCTGGTCTGTATAAACAAAGCAATCAAAGGAATTGATACCTTTTCTCAAGTTGCTTAAAAAAGAAGAAAAACTAGAACCCGTAGAATACATCAAGTTGATGTAAATAAAGGAAAAAGAAATGCAGTTATTTACTGACATGACATACCTGTTGCCTAAATGCTGTAATGGACATTTTGTCTGGTCCATTCAGGACCAGGTGCAGAGCAGGAGAGTTAAAGCAGCCACCTCCTCTGAGTCATGGTTTTGGAAGCATTTGAGAATCTCATGAAATTCAGTTTTCAGGCAGGAGAGGCGAGTTGGTTAACTGAGCCATAATGTGCTATCATCTGATGGGAGTGGAAATATTCTGTGGCATTTCCTTTATCTTAGAGTAAAAAGCTTCATTCTCGGGGGTATTTTTATTTTTTATGCATATTTATATATAGATACAATGCAAATATTTAGATATATGTCCTTAGTGTGTTTGCATGCAAAACCATATTGGTTTTATATTTCAGTAACTTGCCAGTATGTATGGATACATATATATATATGTAGTGAAGTACTGTTATCTAGTTGATACGACTGACACTTTTCTACCTCCTTTAGTGACTGTCACATGAGCTCCTCAAGGATCATGGACGTGAAGGTGCGAGAGGCTGAAGGAGATGGAGAAGACAATTCAGGTAGAATTGCTGCTTTCCCCAGTGAATGAAAAGTGCTGTGACTTCTCGAGCTTCAGTGCCCTAAGCTCTGTTACAGCAGTGAACCTGTTTGTTTAGGGAATGCCTTCCCCCTTTCCCTCCTCCTCTCTCCAAGAGCTGCTGCACTTTGGACATTTTCAGAGGCTTGAGAGACGATTCTTCCAGCACCTTGTGACATAGTTACCTTTGTACACAACAAGATGCAGCAACAAGTGAAACCCTGACAGCACAGCCTGGCAGTGCTGTCGTGCCAGTTTACGTGGGACAGGCACAAGTTGTTGGGATGTCTTGTCCAAAACTCTGATTTCAAGTAGTTGCCTCCCCAGAGCTTGCAACTGCTGCTCATTCAGGCCTCTCCTTACTGAGCAGCCTAGCGTTGCTTTTCAAGATGATTGCTTGATTTTTGCAAAGTCGAATACTTTGTGATCCATTGAGTCTCATAATTAGCATTCAGAATATTCTGGGATGTATTATGCAACTGACATTATAGAAGCATTAGGCTCCCAACACTGCACATGACACCTACGTAAGCGTTTTCTAAGTGCAAATTGGTTTTGGTAGCAGCATTTCCTTAACATCACTGTTTAGCTTGCTGACCAAAGGTAAGGCAGTTGAGGCACCCTCAGTAAGTTTGCAGACAACACCAAGTTGGGAGAGAGTGTTGATCTGCCTGAGGGTAGGCAGGGAGGCTCTGCAGAGGGACAAACTAGATCGATGGGCAGAGATCAATTGTATGAGGTTCAACAAGGCCAAGTGCTGGGTCCTGCTCTTGGCCACAATAACCCCAGGCAATGCTACAGGCTTGGACAAGAGTGGCTGGAGAGCTGCCCAGCAGAGAGGGATCTAGGGGTGTTGGTTGATAGGCAGCTGAACATGAGCCAGCAGGGTGCCCAGGTGGCCAAGAAGACCAACACGATCCTGGCTTGTATTAGAAATAGTGTGGCCAGCAGGACCAAGGAGGTGATCTTCCCTCTGTACTCAGCACTGGTGAGGCCTCACCTTGAATACTGTGTCCAGTTTTGGGCACCTCAATTCATGAAAGACATTGAGGTGCTGGAGTGTGTCCAAAGAAGCTGGTGAAGGGCCTTGAGAACAAGTCTTATGAGGAGTGGCCGAGGGACCTGGGGCTGTTTAGTCTGAAGAAAAGAAGGCTGAGGGGAGACCTCATTGTCCTCTACAGTTACCTGAAAGGAGGTTGTAAAGAGGCAGGTGCTGGTCTCTTCTCACGAGTAACTGGTGATAGAACAAGAGGAAATGGCCCCAAGCTGCAGCAGGGTAGGTTTAGACTAGACATTAAGAAGAACTTTTTCACAGAGAGGGTTGTCAGACATTGGAACAGGCTGCCCAGGAAGGTGTTTGACTCACCATCTCTGGATGTGCTTGAAATTCATCTAGATGTGGCACTTGGGAATGTGACTTAGTGCTGGACTTGGTAGAGTAGGGTTAATGGTTGGACTTGGTGATCTTGATGGTCTTTTCCAACCTAAGTGATTCTGTGATTCTGTGAAGGGTTTCAAAGTTGCAATTTCTTCTCTATATCCTACACTATTAATAACAACATTTTTCTTCACAGCCTAATTTATCTCAAGAGGCAAGTAGAAACTCTATTGGGAAAGATCCTCCACTGTAGGTTATTTCTTATGTGTCCTAAACAGTGCAACCCATTCTCCAAGATGATAGTAATTTCATGCTGTCAGTATAGTCTTGAAAGACAGTGTGAGAACACACCGTGTTGCCTCTTCCAGGCAAAAAACCCCACTTGTTTAGAAATTATAAGGAATTATTATTGTTTCAAAAACACTGCTGGTTGCATCTTCTCTATGTTTCTTTCCTTAGGAAAGAAAAAATCCAAGTTCAAATCTTTCAAGAAGTTTTTTGTTAAAAAGAAAAGGAAAGACACATCTTCTGGGAGCAGCAGCCTGAAGCTGGTCCAGTCAATGAGCAATGTCACAGACTCACATCACATGCACCTTCATGATGATTCTGAAGATGAACTCAAGTAAGGCCTTGGGATTGTGGTTGGTAAACAAATCCATAACTGTTACTGTGTTTATGAACTAAAGATATCCCCAAAATTGCACCCTCCTCTTTTTCAGAAGATTGTGTTCTCAACCAGTTGGCTTTTTCAGGAAAGTGCAGGTTAAAATGGCTACACAAGGCAAATTGCAAGGAAATTGGATGGGGTGCAGCAAGAAACAATAACTAAAAATGCTTTCATTTAATCATAAATAAGCCTTGGGTTATTGTTTCAAAAGAATGGAATTCCCATCTCCAAAAATGAATTAGGTACTCAGCTGATATCTTACCAGAATAGTCCTGTGCCTCTAAGGTGTGTCTCTCCAAAGGTTTGTCAAAGAAATGTAAATGTCTAACCATTTCTGCCAGGTTTTGAAAGGAAGGAAAGGGTAAGGGTGTGGCTGCAACTGAAATCACCTTTATTTCCTCTGTATACATGGAATTCTTTTCACCAAGGGACAAAAGTCCTGCATCCAAGTTAGTCACCAGCTCCCTTTTATAATCAGCAGAGAGACGTCAACATTGCTAAGAAAGCTCATGTTCACACAAAAGATTCTTGCAGAGACATCTATTCAGATGAACTCTATATCTAGAGAGCCAGGGGGACCAGCTCTGATGTCAACACCTGTGGTTTAACGTCTGGAGTTAGACCAGATGAATCCCAGCCTGTGCATCTCTCTGCCTCTGAAAGTCCTGTCCCCGTCCAGGAGCTGCCAAAAATGTTCTCCACTAGGTAACCACGAGAAACCCGGTCTAAAACTTCAAGTTAACTCCTGAAGGGAGAGATGGATCTAAGAGACCCGTGGCTGCCTAAAACCAAGTCCTTAGGTAGTTTGTGTCCCCCAGAACAGACCTCCTGGTGCTCAGGCAGGAATAGCTGCTGTGCCCAGGGGCAGGAGAGGGGAACAGAGAGAGGAGCCCATTTCAGCTGACACTGTACAACGCGGCCACCAGGCAGCGCCAAACCACCAAAATCAGCGATTAACAATTTTTTTTTTATCTGTTTATTTATTTATTTAGTCTCCCGTGGCCTGGGCAACAGCAGTTGAAGCCCCAGGAACTCTGGGCTGGCCGCACCAGGTCTGCACTAAGGCCATAGTGTTGTTGTTCAACAACATCTTTTTAAGACCTGGATGATCAGATTTTCCTTCCCTTCATCCCCACTCAGCAGTGGCCAAGCTTTGGGTGTTTTGCCCACGTTCCTGTGCTGTCGTTTGCGGGGTTGTCACATGATGGTTTCTTAGGAATCGTTTAGGGCAAACCCCAGGAAATTCCTTGAAAGGAAGGAAAACTGAACACTCACCATCTGAGGAGACATCTCCGGTACCTCCACGAGGCTGCCGGGACGTGGGGGTTTGCTCTGAAGAGAAAGCAAAGGGAGCTTGTTGGCATCAATGTGCAGGTGGCACAGGGCTGCTGGGCTGGCTGCTGCTGCAGTCCTTGGGCACCCACTGCAGCCCTGACTGGCACCTACTTTGCAAATGGCTGTAGATCTGTCTGACCTTGGGTGCACTGCAGAGATCCCATTTTCACTTTGATAAATTGTTCTTCTCAAGCCTCTCCTGCATGAAGCAGAAGCAGCAGGTTTTCCTTCCTTCTGCAGCAGGA